ACACACACACACACACCATTATTAGCACCGTGAAGAAAAAATGCTAACCTCTTGTTATTAGCAGAGTGAGAATTTAAAGTAGAACGATGAAGTTGTTTTTTTTCCGAACGTACGCAATTTCCCAGTAAACAAACGCCAAACAGCGACATAATTGTCGTTGCATAATAGATAAGTGATTAACCATTTGGCCCAATACTGGACTTGCCTGTTCAATGACGTGAACGTCCTAGCTACCTTGGCAATACAATATTTATTGTCATTCGAATAGCGTACGGAGCACAATTTACGGCTTGTGTGTCAAATACACCCAGATTAACCGTCTTAGTGAATTGCATGGTGTGTAGTTAGACGTTGACAAAACAAAACCGTCGAGTACTAGCTAATTGACTAGTGCCTTGGCTCAATACAGGACATGCCGGATCAGAGAGTCAGCTGTTCTAAACCTGTTTAGCATGTCAATAAACAAATTCAGTAAACAAGTTTTGGGCAAACGACCGGCTGAACATCAAAGCACTTCCAGTGCTTCATGCGTGCGGGTCCCAAAATATGAAGAATCAATCATTATGGTGGTCGATTGCTCGCATGTTGCAAAGTGCTGGATGTCATTTCATTGTGGAAACTTGCACTAGATGTGGGTTTTGACAATAGGTACAACGCTTGTCACAATATTGATACAAAAATACGACACCAAAGACAACGCCGGCCACGAAGATTAAAGAACCTTGTGGCTATCAATTGAACATACACAGCACACACAGAGGGAGAACTAGTACACTTGTTTGAAAAAGACAATGTGAACACACTTCCATGCATGCTGGACGGGGGAAGCTTAGGTTGGAGTGAAAATTTCCGAAGTTTTAAAGTTGAAAAACGATTCGACCGTGAAACCTGGGCGTTCTTTGAACCGTTAGTCATGGATGTCATGCGTGGCTAAAATACACACTAAAATGAGGAGAAAAGGCGTGGCAGACATTGTTAACTGTGATGGCAGGAATTGGTGTGAAATGACAAGAATTGAAGAAAATAAACACGTAAGAAGGCAGGTTTTTTTTTAAAAAAAATTACCCATATGCAATCAGCAAATATTCTGAATGAAGAGGTGGTGCTGAACGAGTGGGCATACGGTGTTTGGTAGAATCAGTCTGTTGTGAAATCACAGACGACATTAGCAATTAATCATGCGAATCACGAGACAAGTTTTGCTTGAATAATCGTAAATACCGCGATATCATCGTGATAGCGTCGACAACTGTCTATTATTCTGACGTGCTATCATAACTGACGTCAAATTTAGCACAATTTGATCGTCAAAATCTTCTACAGCACGTTGAGCATTTATAACAGCGTTGGCTTAATTCGACCTGTGTAGTTGCCCCACAATCGACTGTATTTAGAGCTAAAACCAACACCTTTGAAGGCGCTAGACTAGGATTCCACTCACAAGCCATATCCCCTGACACAAACTGCTTGTACCAACAATATTGTGTAACTTTGATGCTGCGAATAGGTTCGCCACACAATGGAATTGATGTGGTGCTTTGTCAGCAGTTTATTCAATTAAGAAATGCCACATATGGTCGATTGAGATATAAGTCTGAACCAGGGGTCACATATACTCACAGCTGCGGTTGCCTAATGAGTACCTTTTATATACCAGCCTCACGCCTCAAAATCACCTGCTTTAAAGTACAAACCCCACACTGGGCACAAGTGTGCATTTTTTATAACTCGACGCTATAAAAGTGCACCGAATTGCCCATATTACTTGGTAAAAGAGAAGTGAACTTCGGGAAAGTTGACTGCCAAGCGTTCTTTCCATTTGACATGCCTTGAATTGGAACGATACACCCATTTTTTATTTACTGAAGGTGTCGTCTGTTTGTGAATTGAATAGGCCAGTTGATGCATTGCAATTTATAAAAATTGACTCACGGCTGGTTCCAGTCCATCCACACTCGGATGGGAGCGGAGAGCCCAATTTGCGTCAGAGGAGCACACGGACGTGTTTCTGCTCATTGTGCAATGGCACAGAAGACGTCAGCCACCAATAATCCATCACGTGCCGCTGAAACTTGAAGACGACCTTCACCAGACCATCACGTGACTGCCACCGCACATTGCCTGCATGCTGCCACAGGCTTCTAAATCGGAGCAACGCGATTAGGTGTGTTTGATGGACCGAAATTGGGGCATATCTACGGTTAGCCTCGCTTCCTTCATCCATCACACCCCCTTTCGGAACCAGCGGTTTCCTTTTTTTACCTACAAATGCCTCAGATTCCACCATAGAGTGGGTGGTTGAACTAACTTGAGGAAATAGGGTTAATTTTGGATGCTTTTCCCCGGTGGCATTGTGAATTTTGGTGTCTTGCACGTCTACACAACAGTAATGCTTTGACAGTTTGTATCTGCACGATGGCAATCTCATTATGGGATCCCTAACACCGATAGAATGTGTGCTGGCGTTAATATGCAAATATGGATGTGGTACTAACGCTCGATGTATCTCGAAACTGAGGTGCTATGGAATTATCGAGCTCTAGTGGCGATAATTATTTTGTCAATCCTTTAGTAAAGACGGAAATCGCCGGTTTACGGGGTTTTACCTGCCAAAACCTGACTGACAAACCCCGTTCATCATCCAGGAACCCGCCCGTACAACGTGTTCACATGCTGTTGGTAAAGCGGTGACTAATTCCGTGGTAGGCGTTCTGTAGTAGCTTAATTTGCATATGTTGCGTCCGCCCAAATAGCACATCAGTTTGGGCTCGGCCGGCAACTGCATTTACCCACAACACGCTACGCAGATGCTTCATTCCATTGAGCATTAGCAATTATCTATGGAAAGTTTAGGTAAACGCGATCCCGCGGCAGCCATTTTACCTTGAAAGAAATGCTGCTAGCCTACTCTCTCGATTCGGTTTCCGCCGGCAACAGTGATTGGGTAGCTCAAACAACAGTCTGTTTCCCGCGCTTTTGCGCTACCAGGTATGCATGTGGACGATTTGGCACAGTAAGACTTGTGTCACCGTTGCCAAATTTTGCTAACCACATCGTCCCAGCAGTCATTACACACGCCTTAGTCGGAGTAGATATGCGTGTGAGCGAGAGAGAGCATTACGAGCATTCAGTAACGCCGCTCTTGTGGTTTGTTAAACACTCAGATAGCATTTTGAGTAATCTCCAGCATCCTGATCAATGTTCTTATACAACCTGGGCCATGAAAGCGGCCCAAGTAACTCTTTGAATAGACAAATCTAGACAGCCACAGTCTGGACAAGCATCAAGTGGAACTTACCCTAGATAGGGTCAGTTGTGTGTGCTTTAAATACATGACAACCAAGGGTGTTAAACTAATGAACTAAGATGGAAAAAGTGGCGAATACAATGGGTAGACCCATGAACTCAAATCTGTTTTGTTCATTTTGCCCGCATTTTCATTGCAACACCTTGAAAGTACAGATTTGAGCAGAGTTTAAGGCAAGCAGAGACCGCGTTATTGATTTAGCAAAGGCGATAGATGTCGGTTAGTTGGTGGCGTAATTTCACATTCGTGTTTGTGCGTGCACAAAGCCTATCATGGTGAAGTGAGTACCACTCAGGGGCAACAGCACATTCCTTCAAAGGTCATTTGAACTCAGGCTTGCAGTGGATAGCTCCAGCACACACTACTTGTCAATCCTTTTGCCTCAAGGTCACTCGTAGAGAGGTAGAGAGGCTGGCTATTTCAGTAGTTTTACGCTATTTAATCACGTGAGCTAAACGAAATGGCAACCGGTTATGTGATCGTGTGCGATTAATCTAGTTATACAAGCGAAGCGCACATCACGAGGGGGGATGTGGTCAGGCAATTTACTCGACGATACATAACAGAATTTGAACTTTTCAAAAATAGTGATTAACACGATAATTGCAACCATGCTCATGAGAAAATGGTTTTTTGCTTCAGGCGTTAGTGCAAATTCCACCATAAACGTTAATCAGACGTTGGTTAATTTATGGGGATCACGTCTATTTTAACCCTGTTTTACTCGAAACGGTCTACTATGATCAGAGACCTGGCCGTGACAACTGATTGAAGCCGCATAACACCACCACCACAAAAACGGTTACACCTCTGTACTCCCTCAAGTGACACATTTCGTATAACTGGTCGATATTTAAGCATCATTCGATCTCACATTTACCGCGAGTTTGAAAAAACCTCACACCGTTTATTAGGTAACAAGCATTTAAATAATTCCGACACATTTGCACAATATTTTGGTATCCCATCGCTACAGCGTACCTTGCACCGTTGGTTGATTTATTCAAGGTCATCTACAAACTGTCGTCGATCCCTTCGATGCACTTTCAATGACACACTTTATCGAAACTATGAATTTACCCTGGTACGAATCTAAGCTACAGACGCACTTTTGCAAAAGCAAAAACCCGCAACTTAAAAGTCCATAATTTGTTGGACTGATCAGTGACCAATATCGTAACTTCGTGTGGTGAAACGAAATGATAGCGGGCAAAGTAATTGGAAGGTCCAGGTTTAAGTCCACTAACACAACTTGGGGCGAGTTTGCGATGACCCGAAAGTAGGTGTTTGAGGTCACACCTACCCGGAACATAGATACACACACGCATGCACCACAGCCCACGGCGTGATCATGGCTAGGCCGCACAGCACGCTTTCAGTAACCTAGTTACGCACGGATGCACGTGCGCATTCACTGACCAATTATATGTGCCCCTTGTGTGGTATTGGTGGATATGATTTCTAATCTCAGCAACTCACGAATTGGCAACAAGCTAGAGCCTGGACTGCCAGCTGATTGGTTGGCTCGAAGCAATGTGTGTGTCATCAACGCATCGCGCTGGGGGCAGCCACAATTTAAGCGCAGCTCGCGAGAGCGCAAACCATTAGCTTCGTGCTCCCCCTGGTGTCGGCGGTGGTTGTGGTCTCTTGTTGGAATTTGTATTCGATCTCAAAGGTTCTGTTGCCGCCGGTCATGTCTGAAAATAATCGTAACGGATTGCCTAGTTCAAACGCCCGACTCGTTGTAAAGACATCTGAGGAATTAAATATTCGTAAGTTGGCCATTTATGTGTCCTAGCATATGATACTTACTATGCGATGTATAATTTTTTGTGTGGTCAATTTTTTGGGACTTAATTTTTATTGGTGTTGTCATTTTAAAGTTCATCTAATGTTTGAGTTGAGGTGTATCGTAATTTTATTGTGACCGTACTTTAAAATTTTTTTTGTGTGTACAAAAGTGCTTGAATAGGGGTATTTCAAAGGCTGCGTGCAGCTTGATAGCGGTGTGTTATTACAATTTGTGGTTCTGTGCGCAGTTCAATTGTATTTTTCGAATTGAGATACACTGTGAATTCGCGGTCATTAGCGTTACTGCAAAATGCGGTCTGCTTGAACGACACGAAGCCAACGCGCGTAAACTAATTTGGGGTAATTTCTTCTACTTCCACAGATGTTTCCTACAGCACAAGCGCAGAAGTTTTCCATGAGCGTTATGTGCAAGGTGAGAAACTTGGTGGTGGTGGCTTTGGCTGTGTTTACCGGGGCACTTGTCGCGAGAACCTCGAATCTGCGGTCATAAAAGAGATTGATTCAGCGCGAGTGCCGTGTTGGTGCCGTGTAAGCAGTCCATTTAAATTAGTACTTTGTAACCCTTGTACTATTGCGACTCTTACGCTGGTCCCTTTTCAAACAACCAGCTGGACGGTGTGTTGGTGCCGCTTGAGGTGGTTCTCCTAACCAAAGTCAATCAACTGCCGGGTATTGTGAAACTACTGGATGTATTCAACCTTCAGAACAATTGGTATATTGTCATGAAGGGCAACAAAGAATCAGTCTGTGATATGTTCGACTACATCTGTGAACGGGGTACTCTTGATGAAGCCGAGTCGGCTTTTATAATGTACCAACTTATTGGAATTTTGCTGCAATGCCACGTCGCCGGCGTGCTCCATCGTGATCTCAAAGACGAAAATCTTCTCATCGATAGACACACCAAGGAAATCCAGCTAATTGATTTCGGATCGGGCGCTTTTTTGCACGACGGGGAATACACAGACTTTGATGGTAAGCAAGCCGTTTGTGTGGCGCTTTTGTTGACGGAGTTTGACAGAATTTGACGTGGATTCTACTGTTTTATAGGTACTCGGGTGTACTGCCCTCCAGAATGGATTAATCGAAATGCCTACCACGGGAAACCTGCAGAGGTCTGGTCTGTTGGGGTACTGCTCTTTGATATGCTAAACGGGGATGTCCCCTTCATCAACGACAAAGGAATTACGAGTGGTCGACTTCGCTTTCGTAGGGACGGCCTTAGTGACGTTGTTCGGAATCTTATGCAGTAAGTACTATTCTCTGTAATGACTGCGCTGGTGCTCACATTAGTCGGTCGAATTAACGAGGTCTTGCTTTTTTGTCGCAGCTGTTGTATGCACCGGAATGCCGAGATGCGACCAACTCTGTTGCAGATCCTCCACCACCCATGGCTGTTGCGGTATCGGCACGTTGTCGGTCGACAGTCTCCCCTATCTGCTCAGTATGCTATCTCTCAGGTCTCAATGGGTATTACCCCACATCTGAGCACCTCCGTTACTGTTCGTTCGGGTCTGAACAGTCTAGCTCACGGAGTCCACCGACATTCGGTCGATGGTGCTGTATCTGCCCAGCCTGTACAAATCGTTAAGGTGGTGAGTAACACGGCCCCGGCATTTGCTCAAGCAATTGCTGCCGATGGCCAGACTACTGTTGGTGCTACTCCACATCTAAGCACCTCTGTTACCGTTCGTTCGGGCCTGAACAGTCTGGCTCACGAAGTCCATCGACAGTCGGTCGATGGCGCAGTGTCTGTCCCACCTTTACAAATCGTTAAAGTGGTGGGTAACGCGGCCCCAGCAGTTGGTGTCGATGGTCAATTTTTTCGCTGCCCAAACGATAGTCAGAATGCCGCACCACCCCAAGAGAATTGCCAGCTATCCGAATTAGCACGAGCGCACTCAAACGGGTCCTACGCCAGCTCAGGCTATTATACGCGATCTAACTCGCTTTGCTTTGAGGAAGAGAGGAGCAGGAAAGGAGGATTTGGTATTGCTTATTTGATGGGAAATACCCAGTGCAGTCAGCCCGTTCTCACCGACATCAATGATAGCCAGCAGTGGCGGGAAAAGGCGAGCACTGGCTCATCCACAGATAGCAACATCTGGAGAGGTGCATTCCGTCCGCCTAGTTGTGATTCCTCAAAAACCATCCCCGGATTCCATCATTCGGCAAACATCTCCTGTACCAACCTACGCTGTCTTGACCACGTAGATTCGCATCCCCCACAGACGACCCACTCCAGGTCCCCTGACGAGGGCCTTCCTCCGAACATTTTTGACGGAATTACTATTTCTGCTGCTCGACAATCCAATGAGGGTGAATCGAGGCGAACCACTTGATGGCGCCTCGCATCGATTTCACTCCAAATTGTACATAATATCCTCTGTGCATTTATCACACACCTCACCCTACCTCAGAGAAGCTATGCCAGGTGGGCATTAGGAACGATCTCAACTCATGTACATACTCAAATTGCTATTGGCTATATTGTTACAATTCTGGCTAATCTGGAAACAAGTGTGCCCTCTCTTCCCCCTGCTATGGTACCCCCACCCTTACTCGTGGCACAGGCTCTTTTTACTCCCTACTTTTTGCAGCATTAACAATAAATGTATTGGCTATGGTTTCAAAAAATGCATCTATTGATTGCTTGACTGTCGAACGGTCTTATCGTTTGCGTTTTGATCTGGGTATGTAGATTGTGGAGGCGGTGTGTCCGCCAATACCAGGCCAGTCTGTAGACTACGGCAAGCAAGGGTTTGGCAAAGTCCTTTGCTGTACTTGATTGTAATTGTTGGATCGAGATTAGTCCTTTTAGCTTTTACCCGAGCGAACTTAGCGATCACCGTTCACCGGTGAATGTACTTTTACTTCATTGCGTATGAACACAATTCAAGGTCCTTAAACCGATTGCATAGTTGATCAGTGAACGAACCTAAGAGGCATATTTGCACGTATGGCTGCCATAATCTCTCACGCTATCAGCTGGAGAATCAGCAGTAAAAGATAAAGGATTTTCCACCTCAATAGCACAGATTATAATTTAGACGTTTGACATCCACACTGGCGCTGGACTTCGCAAGTAATCAGCTGAAACGGAATGAGCGGCGATAAGAGAAGCCGAGAGTGAATTCTGAGCTTATGTTGTGCCAGAACTCACTCCAAACTTTGACTGATGGAGACAATAATGGCACGCATTCGGTGGTGGCTATCTCCACCAGCGCATCCACGCCGTGTTTCGACACATCCAGACTTGCCAATTCTTTTAATACAGCAATCAGAATGCTCTGTAGTGTGGTGGGAACAGGTCGAAAGTGGTGGGTGAGGTAATAGCAAGTGAAATGTCGTCACAAACACAGTGTGGGATTTGGCTGCTCACAAATATTTCCCTCCATCTGGCGCTTGCACGGATCGTCTGCTAACAAGTGAATTTGTAATGATTAAATACCACATCTTAAAAGCTACCTGGCTAGTTGTGTGCTGCGATAAAAACCGGGATGTTATGGTATTTGCCTTTCGACGTGGAGCACAAAATGAGCACCTTCGACATGTCCCACTCTTCCACTTCCGTCCAGACGAGGAAGCTATTGATTCTGGCCCGGAGATTGGTGAAACTTATCGTGCTTGTGAAATGGAACTAGAAGGAATCTGTTCAGGCCATTGGCCACTTGACTTTGACCGCCGTCGTTCTGGTTGACCAATTGGTGTTGGCGCTGATCTAATCAAGCCACAACTAGATCAAATTGTGTCCCCATAGAAGTGTGCGGGAATGCAGTGAGTTTGTTAGGTGTAGCACACACAAAATTTGAAAATCACGTGAAATGCCTGGTGGGCAACTAGAATACCGTGGCTTGTGTACTTGCTGACACCACAAGAGAAGATTACAGCAATAGTCGTGGAACGGAAAAGCGTCTCGCCAAAACGACATAGAATAGAAGTGATCAAGACTTCGTTTTGACTGATAGTAAGAAGCTGTTCTTCAACTTGGATGCCGATCAATATCGTCTTTATTGATGGAGGCATCGAGTGCAATGCGCATACAATCTGTGGCATTTCGCCGGGTCCAAAAGCAGGATTTTAGCTTGGCGAGCGGCAATAGACGAATGGGATCACCTGTGTTGGTCCTAGAAATCGGCCATCGACAGCCCCAGAGACCTAGGAGTTCCCTGCTTTGTTGGAGAGTGTGGGGCAGAACTGGACTACTTCTCAGTGACTCATCGATCAGGGTAGTAAGATCGACGATGGCTACTTGCAATGATTGGGAGATTAACACGAATCCTGGACGGTCTGACAAATTTCCTAACCAGTTTGACTCGATGGTTTGAGTGGAAAATGGTGTGGCAAAATGAGTGACCAGAATTTCGCGATATGAGATAAAGAGCCAGCTCACTCGATCGAATCATCTCCACCCACAAAAATGCACCAAACGTAGGGTTTTCTTTTTTGCACTGAGCGGAAATAAAAGCGATTTCGTTGTAATTTGATTGTTTCATAAGAAAAGCTCCGAGATTAGGAACAGCCAGTAAACTGCGCTAAAGCCTGATTGATTTAATCGGCGGGGAGCGAAGCCACAGTAACAGATTAACGGTTATCTGCTTGACTAAATCTCAGCATTGACGTTCCAGCAGACACTTCTCAATCTCACCTGTCAAGATGATGCAATCAAGGGTTGTTTGATAGTCTTGCAAAAACAAAACACACTAGTTAGTTGAGGCGAAACGAGGCTGTAGATTCATGTTTACATACACCGGAAATCCTTGCATCCAGTGATTCTCAATTGGCGAATGCGATTACCCCTAATGGTCTGGTAATGAAGTTAAATCAACCGGAAGCAGAGAACAGGTACAAATAGAACGCTTATTACCGCCTCTACAACAGTTTTCGCTTGCGCCATTTGCTCATTCAAGCCAACACCATGCCAAGATGCTGTCAAGTTCTACATCCATTCGACGGGGACAAAAATAGCAATTTTGCTCTAGTCCAGAGGGAGTTCTTTTTCCGCTGCTTCGAACAAACCCAAACCATTCTACCCTTTTGTATTCTGGCCGAACGCCAATCGTGATTCTGATCTGTGGATGAGTCGGTTACTGAATTTGAAGACTTCGACTCAGAAGACAACATCTAATTTGCAAATGTTCCTTATGATGAGGCGCTGGTACAACTTCAAGCGCCTTCTAGACATCCTTCTATTGCATATCGCAGTGAATCATTGTACTCACTTCACACCTACGTTGCTTTTTTAACAAGAAACCGGACTGCCAGTGTTGATTTTCGTATCATGGACTCACTAGATGGCAATGAACATTCAAACATATGTTTTTTTTAAACTGGTGGACATGGTGAGGAATGCTTACGCCATTTCGTCTTTCTAGCTGAGGTCCAACACTGAGAAGGTCATGCCTAAGTAACCTATGAACCTGCGTGGGTGGCATGTTTACCCACACACAAGCACCAATGAGAAAACGCAATTTGTGACTCGACCTTGCAGAGCTGCTAAAGATGAGCCACTCGAGTCTTGTGAGGTTGGGGGTTGGGTGACCTTGAAATGGCCCAATTAATACCAACCGCGAAAATTCCATTAATCATATTCAGGCGATTCTTTTGCATAACAACAACACGAGGCAGAAGTTAATACACAAAAACGATCCCCGTTATTTCACGTCCTTGTATGTTCTGCCGGGGAATCCTGGTTCGTTTCCGCAGATAATGTGGGCAACGATGCCATAAGCTAATTGATCTCTGAGATCAGTTTAAGAAACTGATCCTTTTGCCAAGTGGCAATTTGGCTTGATCTGAGGTTCATTGCGGGGTAATGACCCCGTTCGAATAAGGGAAAATCAAGTAATACCCTGAAAAGCTAATCACGTGACCGCAAAAAAAGCACAGTCAAAAATTAATTGA